AGATAGAGATAGATAGACAGACGGTCATTACATGGTTCAAGAAGCAGGAGAAGGGATCCTGATATCTTATATGTATACGTGTGAGTAGTGTTCTCACACAGAAACCCCATGGAAGCTATCAGAAGGTACAGAAAGACTGATACAGGATCAGTAAAAATTTTAGATCTCAGCGGATCCTTTTCAACATACCCTAGTGACTTGCTACAATTTGCTAAGCCTACAAGTANAAATTTCATCCTTGCGAAACTTTTGTAACGCGTACTGCGGCGAAGTAACAGCAGGTAACAAGAACATTAAGAAGAAACAAGTACATAATAACTACACTATTGCTGCCTGCCAGTGAACACTGTTACTACTTTCTTGTGTCTCATCCAAGTCGCGGTATAACTGGGTAACCATTTTCTACCCATGTCGTTCGAGTTCAACTTGGATTCCTTACATGATGCTGCACTCCTTTTCATTGGCCGGAAAAGCTGCAAGAAAGATGATGATATACCTTTGACGTCATATCGCTGTTCAAACACCACGCTATGCTGTCTCTTCTTACAATTACTCCCTTTCCGGCGCCTTATTGAGGTAAATCGTTCTATTCGTCAGAGTGAATGCAGTACATGACATAAAGGTCGCTGACATTAAGCGAACTATGTTCAGTAGGGATACCATGGAATTTCTAAGCAGCTGTACGTCACTACGAGAGACTTAGTCTGTGGGCATTCGTCGCAACTGAGACAGATTGCAAGGAAGTTCTATTTGTTCCGACGAAGAGTCAGTTCAGTAAAAAAATGCCATCAAGTGAGAGCACTCCTCGATACCATTGTTGCGTTCATGAAAGTATTTGTCAAAACATATATGCCCACTTACCAGTTGGCTCGCACACCGTGTTCGTGAGTATAGCGCAGTAGAAAGAAAAATGACGATCAAAAGGGACTTAAGTATATACTAATTCGTAGATCGTACAGAATTCCTCTAATATGATAGTATCTTCCGGGAAAGAATTTGCCGGAGACTTCACAATAGCATAGGCTTTCCACAAGGTTTTCTGGAAGCTTTCATAGAAATACTGTAAAAGGACGCTGATCACTTGCATGCGCATAACATATCTAGAGATTTAATGATATCACAATCGATTGACCATGACGAGGTCCATGTTCACCTTTTTTCTTTCAGTCTTTGAAGCAAAGTGTGCACAGAACCGCTCAGAAAGGGCTTCATGGCCGACTGGTTGACATATTTTCTATCAATGGATTGCAGCAGCATACTTGCCGGATTTGATCCGAGAGAACGTGTTGAATATGGATAGACAGTTATTAGATAGAGATAGATAGACAGACGGTCATTACATGGTTCGAAGCAGGAAAAGGGATCCTGATTCTTATATGTATAGGCGTGAGTAGCGTTCTCACATAGAAACTCCATGAAGCTTTCAGAAAGTACAGAAAGATTAATACAGGATCAGTAGAAATTTTAGATCTCAGCTGATCCCTTTCAACATGCCCTAGTAACTTGCCATAATTTGCTAAGCCTACAAGTAAGAACTGTATTCATTGAAATTTCATGATGAAATATAAAATAGTAGAAATAGACAGGAAAAAANAAAAAATTGCAGATATGTAGCCATCGGATGGATAGGTCTTGCAAAATTCGACCAGTGATGTGCTGGTGCCACATCTATTTGCTTTTTGAAGGTTTGTATCCCAAATGTACTTCATTACTACAATAATTTCAGACGAAGAGGAAGTGGTCATTTGGATGTAACGTTACGTTTGTTTTGCAAGCTTTATTGGCTGATCACCACCCGCTCAAAAAACTTCTCTTGTATGCTCATACAATTTCACCCCAGGGTTGATTCCCTTATAAAAGCCATTTTCACTCTTTCGAGGCATCAAACTCAGCTAACAGCTGAATTCCGAATCATCTGCTGCTCGAAATGTATCTATTACATTTCCTTTTCATCGTACGTTTGTTTCCCCTAAGCCTTTGAAAGTTTCAATCAAGTATGACCAGTAGCTTTTTCAGGTTTCGCTTGTAAACGCACTTCCTTCAGGATATACAGGTTTCAAGAAACCTTTTCTTATATCTGTCAAAATCTTCAAACTATGAATGTATTTATTTCAGACAAAACTCTTCTAGCAGATGGTCAGGATGTCAAGGTAATTCTCAGTAAATCCCGTAAATGCTAAAATACTGCCACTTCACATTTGACTGTTACCTATCTAGGGTAAAACTTGCTTTTATTCAATCGTTACGAAGAATCCACCCATTTTTTGTAGTCTCGACCTACAATTCGCAAAAACAAAGATGGATCCACTGAATATACCATCCTCATCGTAACCGATCTCGATAAAGATTCAAAAGCTGGTGACTGGACATGGAGAGCGGTTACCCGACAAGGTACCTGAGGTTGACGCTAAGTGGCCGTAAGACCCAAGTGGACATAAAGTGGGACTCAGACAAGAATCTGACATCGTAAGTTTATTAATGAGCATTCGCTTCAAATTTTGTATAAGGAAGGGGTAGGAGGGTGTGCAGACACTACTCCGGTTCGAAGAAAAGTCTTATGTGTGTGGCCGCATCAATGATCCGATAAGGGCAGCTGCGTAAGTCGCCTAATCGCTTGTAGATGTAGATACCTCGAGAAGCTGCAAGGACTTCAATTTTCGCTTGTGAGCTCTCTGTCAATAGGATCGATCTTCCAGATGGATCAGCCGGCTGTTTCCATTTCTCCCCAGAAAAAAGGAGAGCAATAGTTTTCTGAGTAAGGTAAAGGTGCAGGAATAGCCTCTCAGTGACGTATAGGATGGGGCATCGAAATTCGTTGAATTAGTTGTAACCATGCTTCATATTAGGGCCCTAACGGCATTTTGCTCGAACATTCGATATTCGGTCCCAATGTTAGACTCGTTTTGCCAAATCAATAGTAGAAAATTACAAAGCGAAGGAACGCTCATCATCGATTCATAAGGTTAGAGTTCACTTCACATTGTGGATGCTTACCTATTATCTTGAAATCAATCTGAAGATAAATAAAAATCCAGACCAAATGAACGTTCTGACGAAACGCTTTAGAGCAATGAATGTGAAAGGACGTGCTATGGAATTATCCGACTTGTCTGTCTTCCATAACAGGATACTCACTCCTGACGATAGGACCGGATTGATTAGCGAAATCAAGGACGATAAGGTAACAAGTACCCCCACTCAAATTTTTTCGTCATCTAATTGAGGAACGAATTCAGATTATTCCTTGGGTATTTCTCAACTCTCGACCTGGAAACACGACTGACCCTTTCAAATGTGAGTGGATGACCATTAAGGACGATCTGCTCTACGTTGGAAGCCACGGTGTGGTGAGTGAGATTTGACATTGTGCAGGCATGGCTAGTCCGTTCTTCAATAAATGGGGGTTCTGAAGTTACATAGCACGAGTTTACATACCTTTTAGGGAATTCCTGAGAGGTGAGGCTTCCATCGAACTACGATAATGAGTTTTAGATTTAGTTGTGTGACTAAAAATACTTTCAGGAGTACAAAGGCAAGGTTACGCATAAAAATAACATATGGATCAAAACAGTTACACCAAAAGGGGAGGTAAGATTGAATTGTAGAAAGAATGCTTTTTCGGAATGAGAAAAATGTCGGTGAGATGAAAGGCTAACCATGTAGTTTTTCAATAATGTGAATTTAGGAAATGTTTACACATTAGGGAATACTCTGCCCTTAATCCAATTATAAATTTGTTACCAGCTGTAGGTGAACTACTAGTTGAAAAGTACTCATTGCGTGAAGCAATTATTCCGAAAATTTTTCCGTTCCAAGTTCCTTTTCAAGAAAGGAAGCTGTTGGTATAGGTAAAAACACATTTTGAGAAAGCATAAAAATCTAATCGGTCACATTACTGCATACGACCATGACAGGGTTTTGCATGAGAGTGAAACCAGACATCTTTTCTCAATAACAAAAACAAACGCTGCCGTTGTATTTGTCTCTTGCTAAATTATTATATAATATTATTTGAAAAGAAACTTCCTAGACGCCGCTGTCTTCATTTTCAACGCAATGTCATTTTCACCTTCTGAATAAACAAGGAATATTAACCTTTTCCATGAAGCGCCTGAACTTAATGTTGTTCCCCTTTCTATTTTCAAGACTATCTATGTTCTCGGTCCGACTAATGTTATGAGAAAAACAATATAAAACTGTGAAGGCCTTGGTGAAGGAGCCGCAAAGACTTTTAGATTAACTACACTCTCTCAACGCCAGCTGATCTCTTCCCTACCTTCTCTCCTACCCACTCTATAAGCTTCAAAAGAAATCGAGTGCTGATTAGCTTAGACTGTTCTTATATTATACCAGGTGACCAACGTAAACTGGATCGGTGTCTACGATAAAATGCGGGCTGCTGCCGGTATATCTGAGCAGGGATACATAACTCATGAAGCTGTACAGTGGTCGGAGATTCGAAAACGTTGGTTCTTCCTCCCCAAGAAAGCATCGAACACTAGCTACAATGAAGCAGAGGATGAGAAAAAGTGAGTGATATTCCATCCAGTATGTATACATTGAATATATATGTGTTACATACATATATGATTATGGTTAATCAATGAGTAGCAAATGCTGAATGACTTTGTCTCCAGAGGTACGAATCTTTTAATAATTCACCGGATCTCGAGCAATTCGAATTTATAACAATTGGACGGCTGTTCCCTAAACGAGGATATTCTGCTTTCGATTTCATTCCTGGCACCGATGACGAACTTATTGTCGCCTTGAAATCGAAGGAAGTAGCAGGAAAAAAGACTGCCTCATTCATCACCGTATTTAATATTAATGGTCAGGTCATCCTCAAAGACAAGAAACTCTCCGGTAATTATAAATTTGAGGGACTGTACTTCATTTGAATTTTTGCTAACACAGAATATTTAGAAAGGGAAGCCGAATAAATTATTCCATTCCATCGCATATTGCACCAAGCATACAAAGTGTTCGCATAGAGCCTCCACTGGTGTAACAATTCATAACAAAATGTGGTGGGAAAATGGATCTACCGGGTGATTGAAGAATTCCATGGACCTCAGATGCACAGGGTCAATGAACGCCAAAAAATGGTAAATTATGTGATAATGTATAGGTTCCTCTACACTTCCCTCTAGATTGTGGTGATATTCCTCGAGCTCTGTTTACGTAGAGGGGCCTCCTTGCTTTCCGTTCCGCGGTTGACGAACTAGATCACGCCGCACATGTTGCACGTGGCGCAACCCTTTGCGGTTTTGAGCTGGGCATCTGATTTGAATGTTTATGTTAATAGCTACAGTATTGCTCCCCTTTACCCCATACCTATTTCCACCTTCATTCAGAACGCCTTTTGGCAACTATGTAGGCAGAGTCTTTTTTTCAGGGGAAAGTTCAGGATTTCGTATACAAGTTCGTGAGCAGCAAATAATTTTCCGCATCCATGACGCAACGCGACCAGCCGGCTCCGATGGTGTCGGTTCACTGCTAGATACTGCTGAACACATAGAAATTCTAATAACAGTCTCTAACATTGCCACCGCTCCATCGGTCAATCGTCGTCCATATTCACCGGTGGAGTCTATCACTGATAAGCTGAGCAGTTGAATGGGAACCTGCTCTGACTGCTTGTTTCGGGCCACCACCAGCATATAAGGAGTGTAAGACATACTGTGGATGGTGCAACGCTTAGAAGCACGCCAAACTTGCCTAGTGTAACCATGAGTTTACTGCTTTTCCATGGTATTGGACCTTTCTTCAGTTAGCATCTATTAATTCATAAGCTCATGTGGCTATACTGCCACGTCATCACGTTCAACGACGATCTTTAGTACCTTAGGAGAGGTACTCAGCACATTTTGCTAGAACCAGGGGAATCGCTCAGCAGGTAGTGTGAAGGGGAAAAAGAAAAACACGATATAAGATGAAAACCCGGTAGCATCGACGTAGAACAACATCAATCTTGACATAAACATTCAGTAATACTTATGCATCTCATCATGGTGTCCAAACAATGGGGTCAACAACAACAACGAGAAGTCCTCATGTTCATAATCGGACTGTTTATAATATGTATGATTTCCTTCCTTAGGGGGGGGAGGTGGTGTAGTGGCAAGTAGCGCACTTCACACACGCATGGTCAAGGATTCGAATCCTGGATCGATATCCGCGTAGTCCAACCACGCCTTCCATCCCTCCGGGGTCGGTTAATTGGTAACATACTCGTCTGGGAGAATGAAAGCACTGACTTAAACAATGGCTGGCCATCGCATTTCATTGTAAGGGCCACATACGCACACATTATGCCACTACGATTTTAAATGGAGGTCGAGTGCTGGGGCGCATCCCTCAGACGGGATTGACTAAGGCCAGAAACATTATCCTTCATGATTTCCTTCCATTTAAGTACATATAAGCTTCTTAGAAACCGTAATAATCGAAGGCAATCTACATAACAGCACCTTGATTATCTGAAGCGCAGGTACCTTAAGCTTCGGTTCCGCATCTTCGATACCCCGCATGATCCAGAGAACACACGGTGCATAGTGCAATCACATGTGGAAGCGGTGGGAGACCGCTTTTTCTGTTTCCTTTGCCCGGGATTTTTCAACGTGCATTTCTCGTTGACCCTGGGATTTCGTTACGCAGTCGTGAGGTAAAATCTCTTCCTCACAAATCCGACCTCTGAGCAAGATCGTCCCTGTTTACTTCCAAATTGACCACCGATTCCTTTACTCGTCATCGCTAGTCTCTTCTACTCCGTCGAGTCGCAGCAACGTCAAACCGTCGCGCTCACTCATGAACATCCCGCAGGACGCAGGTGAAGTCGAGCCAACCTCATGTTATATTTTTGTGTAGTTATCGTTTTATCTATTTTATTTATTATTTGTCGTAAGTATTGTTTCAATCGACGTAGCAAAGTCATCTAAACCCTAACAGCAAACTCCTGCCCAAGTGTGAGGAAACGGAAGCACACGTCGACCTAGTCGACGGCATGCTTTGCCAAAGATCCCACTGATTCATGTAGAATTGTTGTGCAGAAGTGTCAGATTGAGTGCTCTAACATATCCTCCCACCGTGCATCTCATCATCAAATGACAAGGTCGATGATGAGAGCCTGTAGCGATTATATATGCCTCAAATATTTGACGGGAAAGCGACGATGTGACCTGATGGGCGTTAAGTGCTGTCCACAGAACTGAACTGCCGATGTTGCGAGTTGCTTCTCCCCGGAAACGTTGGCCCATTGGCGCAACTGCTGCGGGTGTCGGCGGCTGATATGAGCCGCTCCAGTACATTGGAAAGACAGGACGGCATATAAAGGAACTTCCAACATTCTAACGCACATCCCTCCGTAGACCTCGTGAGCAGAGTCCGACGGCAAGAAACAATGCGTAGGGTTCATCGGAAGGGACAATTCCGCCCAGAAGGGACATGCCTAACGAAGTAAAAATCATCAGAATTGCACATCGATTCAATGTAACCATATTCGTTCACATTTTATTCACAATGTATTCAGCTTGCTATTACAATATTGCATTATTGATCTTAGCAATCGGCTATTGAACCAATCGATGATCACATTACAGCTAGAATTTGAGTCATGACGTTCAGGGAGCAGGACCGTTCTTCTAATCATAACAGAGAAGCAATTCTTTCTCGAAAACGCACTTGATAACGTCCCTATTCACTTAGTTTACAAAAAAAGGCAGACAACGAAAGGCGATGTCCAAAAGCAAGATTTGGAAGAGGAAGAACGCCTTTTATTCCCAACAAGTCATTGCCAAAGAGCATTTTTTCTGTACATATGCTCCAAGAATACGGTAAAAAGTTATACTCAAGGGAGAGATAGAATAGCAAAATAAGATCAATAGAAAAAGACAAACAAAGAAGTAGACAGAACAAGAAATAGATGGGAAGACGACTGCGAATTGAATCAACTTGAACATAGTAAGAAAGTACAAAGAAAGAAAAACAACACTAGCGGCAGGTGACAGGGGAATGTCCTCCTTAGAAATAGAACAAGTGCAAAAAGAATTGGACCTTACCTTAACTTCTGGGCGACTGTCGAAGGCATTTATCGTAGACGATGACGCCTAGCTAAATTTGCTAACGTAAGGAAATGAACAACGGAGGATGATGCATGTAACGGAGTATACCTATTGGATACGGTATGGTCGTGCATAATGAAAAATAGTGCCTGTCTAGATCCACCGATTCGGCAATCGAACTTGATAAGCAGTAGTATGTTTAAAATAAGTGACCTACCCTTGATCTCTGATTGGATCGTGCATTGATTGGATAGGCGACTTTTTGCCGCTGGATACGATATAACAGCTATCTAAACTAAACTGATCAACCTAATATATAAAATAAGTGACCTCCCTTGATCTCTGATTGGATCGCGCACTAATTGGATAGACGACTTTTTGCTGCTGGATGCGATATAACAGCGATCTGAACTAAGTTTATCAACCTATCACTATTTTTCATCCATGCAAATAATAAACTAACAACTCAATTAATTATGCGAGTGAAGGGGCTTGCCTGAGCTTTTGAGTGACTGTTCCAGTAACATGATATCTTTACATGTATATGCAGCTGTTTAGTAAGAAAACAGCTCTTTTAAAACGGCTGATTGGATATCGACTGGTTGTGCAAAGTGGACGATGGGACCTATGTAATCTACTGATTGGGCGAATAAATTAGATAGGCAATAGTATGTAAACGATGAGTAACTCATCCTAAATCACCAAACGGATCGTGTATTGACCGGATGGGTGGCTGCGTGCCACTGACTCCGACAATTTGGTGATCTGATTCATTCATTAACTCATGAAAATTTTTTATATGGGAAAACAGTAAAACCATAAACTCACTCAAAGCGGATGAACTGAGTCCATTGCATAGCTTTCGGACGACTTCTTCAAGATATTTCCAACACACTGCAGTGATGTGCAGCTGGTTGGATATGAAAACAACTTCTCCTGGAAGTATTGATTGGACAGTGACTGTAATTCATGGCACAACCTGGAATTCTTGTCTTAGAATGTGAAGTCTAGCTCAGTGGTGTGGTTCTCGTCCCCTAATCAGCCACTGGCCATCAATGGACTTGAAACCTGAAGAGTGGTTCTGATTAGTGATCAGTGATTCTTCCAATAAATGCGAAACATGCACGAACGTAGAGAGTTTGGGAATCACATTATGTTTTGGTAGGATAAATCAATTGCCCCTCCCATCCCTCCTATCCTCACTTTGACCTTGCACTTTCATTCATTATTGAACAGTTGAACGGATTTACTGTGCAAACAGCTAGAGACAAGAAAAAGCTAATAAATTAAAAAATATATATAAAAAATATAGCAGACATGAGTGAGAAAGTGAGTGTGGGAACAACCTAAAGCAGTGAATACCATTTACTTAATGTGTAATTAGATATGGCACAAAAAAGGGAAAAGACGTGAGCAAGTCACACACCCTGTCGATAGTCGATAATACCTCGGCACGACTGATGCATTGACCGGAGGTCAAAGCTCCACTTTGAAACTGATCGTCAGTTATCGCGCAGGGGTTTTGCCCATACTAAGCTTGATTGAGAACAGACCAGCTTCACTACTGGATGGAGATAGGCAGGATCACGGAATGTGTAGATCCATCAACTTCAGAAGCTCAGCCGGAACATCGCTTCTCTAGGCCTGTCCTGCAAACCATCTCTGTCTCAACCGTCTTATTATACTGCCAGTGTTCCATTGCAGACCTTCCTACTTCCAAGGTCAAGCCAAATTAATGAGCAAAGGAGCATCTTGTCTGTTACCAGCTGCTAACCACTAACAGGGTCAAGCTTCTGTCGCATAATCCGCGCTACGTGGGAATTGCATTGGTTTTAAGGTGGTGAAACTTTAGAGGGTAAGGATGGGTTTGGGCTACCTATGGATTCGGTTTCCTGATGGATTAGAAAGATTTTGATTTCTGAGCTGTCATATTGTTAGCTGCCAAAATGCGTCGTGGTAGAAGGTGGGCATAGGTATGGAGAAGATGATTATGATAATAGTTATCCTACTGCTCTCCTTAACACCATAGCTATTTCCACTTTCATTCAAAACGCCTTTTGGCTACTATATAGGGAGAAGCAGTTTTTTTCAGGGAAAAGTTCAGGAGTTCGTGATCAGGAGAAAATAATTTTCTGCAGACATACATGTGTGTAGCATCGCGGCTACCTGGCTACGAGGATGACGATTCACTGTTGAATTTCTCCGAGGGATTCTAATGTCATTTTCTGACATCGCCATCACTTCACCCCCACAAAGATTCCGCCCCTTTTCATCTGACTCAAGTCCTCATTTACAGATACAATGATACTAGACGTAAGTGCGTAATGTGAGCGCTCTTTTTCCAGCGGTCTCATCGTCATCCATATCTACTGATGAAGTCTAACACTGCTAAGCTGAGCAGTCGAATGAAAGGGAAAAGCTCTTCTTCAAGGGAAAAGAGCTGCTTCTTCAGTCCACCTCCAGCATGGAAGGTGTGTGGGACATATTGTGGACGGTACAACGCCTAGAAACGCGCCGCCGTGAATTTGTCGAGTGTGACCATGGGTTTATTGCGTATTCATGAGCTTTTTGTGGCGATACACTGCCACGTCAACATGCTCTGTGACAGCCTTAGTGCCTTAAGAACGGTACTCTACATATTTTACTATCACCAGGGAAATAGCTCAGCCGATATTGGAAAAGAATTACTAAAGTAATGTATTTCTACTACCTGCTTAGCGATTCCCCTGGTGATAGTAATATGAGTAATTTTTAAAGCTTCGATAAAGTACCTCATTGTTAATTGTTATATGTATAAACTACAAATTGTAGATAATCATACTCTCATCAGCTGAGCTAGCTTTTATTAGGGCCTTCCTCACTAACCGTTCATTCATTGTAAGAGTCAACGCAGCGCTTTCTGATCCTAAAAATGCTCTTAGCGGAGTCCCTTAAGGTAGGGTCCCATCGCCTACAGCGTGAATTGCCGGGTTTGATTTTATATTGTGGAGCTCAATGCATTGCGTTCGCTTAGACATGAAGATATACACGCAAATAACTACCGGAGAGGATTGCGCTATACTTCACAGTCTCTTGACGTTGCCTTCCCCCGGTCCCATATTGGAGTCTCCCTCTGTCTAAAGAGAAAACCAAAGTAATGCGATTTGGGCGCTCCCACCCCAAGTTCAAGATCGTACTGCATTGATGGGAGTGCCATCCAAGCTGTTGATGAATTTGTTGATCTAGGGTTCGTTTCAACTCCTGAACTGTTTTTTGACAGTCAAGAATTGGCGCTGAAAACGGGTCATGCTGTCTACAGAATATTCAGAGCTCTAACCAAAAATGATCCCTCAGTTCTCCTTTCGGCCTATAACTCTTATATAAGGCCCTCGGTTGAGTACGGCGCTGTCATTTTCAATCCTCACAAGTGCAAATTTGTCCACCTCATAAAGCGAATTCGGAACAGCTCCACCAGAAACCTCATGACAAGAGCTGTCTAGCGGATTTCAATATGACAACATTCCTTCCGCTGATTCAAGGGATTTTACCTTCGGTTTCTGCTCGCTTAGTTGGCGTAGGGAATGTTTTGAGTTATTAATGTTCCATAAAACACTTTTATTTTACCTTTTCGGGGGTCCCTGCCTCAATCTCATCTCGCTTTGTAGTGTGAGGACTTCTCTCACCAGAGGTGATGTCTGGAAACTTATTCTCCCTAAGAATACTTCTCGTTGATTCTCCCGCCTACGGCCACCTGCTCGAACGGTGCCATTCAAACTCATCAACATTCATCCAATTGTTTGACTGAAAGCTGAAGATTCCAGTCGGAAAGAGGGTGCGACGAGGAGATACGATTTCTCTAAAGCATCTTATGGCTACGCTGCAGTATGCGATGCTGAACCTCGATTGGGAAGAAAGGGGATATCCGACCGTCAAGGGCAAAAACGTCAAAAACCTACGCTTCGCCGATGATATTGTCTTGATATCTAGTATGTAGTACTGATGAAATGGAAAAGATGGTCAACGAATTCAATGCAGTAAGGCGGCGGATAGGCGTGAAGATGAATACATATGTCCATAACGCAATTAATGGCTAACACGAACAACATCACTTCATCGGAGAAGACGTGATGCATGGGCAGTTCTCGGTTCAATCCGTGAAGCGACAGATCAGGTCAGGGATCCTAACCTCAAGGCATCGATATTCAGCGCCTCAGAAATGTCGGCCATGCGTTATGCGACTGAAACGTGAGCTGACAACAAAACAATCGCCAAAGCCATAAGAACTTCTCATCACACGCTGGAAAAAAGTTTTTTAGTTGATGCCAACAGTGGCAGAAAGGCTTGCGAAATTCGGACCTAAAGAAGAGACCGCGTTTGAGAGACCCGCTTCAATACATGGCACTTTCGCAGCGCCGCTAGACCGGTCATCTGCTTCGTCGAACAGATGACAGAACGAGATTTCGAGTCACAGAGTGGCTTCCGAGAAGTAAACAAGTCCATCAGGACGTCCGCCGCTCGGTGAGCTGATTCGTATTCCAAGTATTTCAGAGAAAGCTTCCTACATTGGATGCAAGTCGCGAAAGATCGGGCGACATGGAGGAGCTGTGGTCAACGCTGATAAGAGCCTTCTGCTGATGGACCATCAAAGTATCAAAGTAAAGTAAAGCATATATATATATATATATATATAAATCGACGCGAATGCAGGAGATCTTGTCCTGGCTGCATTTCATCTCATAGCGCAGTCTATCTTATTGTTATCAGCATGATATGACGTGGTGTTTATCACTTTCGCGAATGTGCTACCCTCACGGTGCCTTTTTCTCCGGCCGTGGCAGCCTGTATGGGCTGCCATCGTACCGACTATAAACGACAACGGACCTATTCAGAGATTCAACGCTTCATT